TTGTAGCATGAGTCAGTGTTAAAAAAAAATTTTAATTTTGAGAAATGCTGTTGAGGGGTAAACCTTAAATGAATATAAATACTAAGGTGAGCCAAAAAAAGTAATACCGAATTTGTGGATTAAAATCAACCTATATACAAGGGAAAAATATCTCTGCAAAGAAACATTTTTAATTTAATTTTAAAAGGTGTCGGCATTCAAAGGTTTCCATATAAATAACAAGTAAAGAAATCTGTTTTCATTAAAACTACAGTTTAGGATAAAACTTTTCACAATGCGTGTTCTTGTAGAGCATAAAATTTAATAAAAAAATCTATACTGGAGGGTTGTTTCTCTCATCGAAAATTCTTATATTTAAATGCTTTGAAAGGTGAAAAAACGAAAAGTGGTGAGAAAAAATTTGGTCTTGAAAAAGTGGCTCAATAGTTAAAAAAAATCAAAGCTATAATACCCTTCACAGATGTGATACGACATCGGCAGTTCCAAGAAATGAGCAGCTTCTTGGTGAGAAAGGGACGTGTGCAAAATTTCAGATCGATATCTCAAAACTTCAGAACTAGTCCGCATATATACACATGGACATAGCTAAGTCGACTGGGCTAGTCACGCAGATCATTTATATACTTATATAATATAATATATACTTTATTTTAGGTCGCAAAAATTCATAAATTTTTATTAGTTTCCGAAACTATAGAGAACAAATTCCGGCTATTATATCATGTAACTACAATAGTACTTGTACAATATATGGCGTTAAACATATTCTTACTAGTTGTGGTAAGTTAAAAAAATTACCGCTTATCCATTTTACTTATGCCCGAGCTAAGAAAACTTAATCCCTTGTAAAATATTTGCCTAGCTTTGAGGCTCTTCGGCATAGTGACAGAGTGGTGAGAGAACCAATTACATGTCTTAACCAACGGCTATTTGACTGGCACAGCGTTCATGGTTTCAAGCATTAGCCTCTAATGGTAGATCTGTCTTGCTTTAAATGCTGTAAGCAGCAGGATATTGAAGTTGTGACTGCTATGGTAAAATAAAATATAGTGTAGTCATAATTCATTATTGTCAAAACATCGTTATTGCTGAAGATTTCAACCATTTATAACCTCAAGGATTCCTTCAAATTATCTGCAAAACATATTGTTACCCTGACCGATGACTTGCAATGCATAATATATATTATGGTGTGATGTCTAGCAGCTTCAGAGCATTCAGCGAGTTTAACTTTAATAGGATGTTATTTACTGCCATGCAAGCAATTTAATTTCCACAGAAGTCGATCCATCTCTAATATTTATTTGGCCGAGTCCAAGCAGTAACATAATGGTTTTACCTAATCATCTGCTGGAAAGACTCACACTGCGGTACAGTTTTTGAAAGATCGATTAATATCTTGAGTTTAAAAAACGAATTTTTAACTAAGAGAAAAAAAGATTCATTCCGACGATGTCGGTTTTATTTAACTAGAATGGACCTAAATTTTATCTGATCACAGACTTGTGGCAAGTTTTACGTCGCTTAAATAACAACAAAGAAAGGAGACAGAATAATTTGCTTATCGGTAAAACTCTACAGTATTGATGTATATTGATATCGGATCTCAACTATACTTCAGTTCGTAAATAGGTCGCTAGCATACAATTTTTTAAGCATACCAACTGTGATGTTGATCTAATACCATACATTTACGTTTATTGATGAAAGCTTATAAGGTCTAGTAAAATGAAATCCATTATTTTTGCATTAAATTGAAATTTTAATCTAGCATAGTTAGAATATTCTGCATAAGGTCAAATATGCACCATTTTGTTCAATACCTTGTTGCTATTTTAACCCGTATGTTAGTAACCGGTTACCTACCGCGGTGTATTTGTGTGAATAGCTTAAAAAAAATTCAATATTTCATTCTAAGCTCTCAAATCGTCGTTTTTTAACTTAAAAGACAGCTATTTGTGAGTTCATTTTTTTTATTTTTATTTTTTTTATTGTACGTTGTTATTTTTTTTCTTTAAATTGTCACTGACTATTGATATTTTTTTAATAAAATAAACAAAATAATAATAATACTCAGATCGTATCCCTGCACTCGGTTGCTAAAAGACGTCGGTAAAGTTGGTTACTAACATAAGGGTTAAGGTAATTTCATAATTCTATGTTCATAGCAACCCTCGTTCCTATTTTCAAAAAACTGGGACAATTGATTTTTACAAGCTTCCCTTGTGGCGAAATTTTCAGCAGCAAAATAATTCGTCATATGCAAGAACAGGTAGTAATGACTTGGTGTCCGGACTATGAGGTGAATGTACAATAAACTCTCAACCAAGCTTCCACAGCTTCTGGCGAGTCATTATCAATAAGTGTGAACTGGCGTTGTCTTGATCGAACACAATTTCTGGGCGTTTGCTTCCTTCAGACTTTCCAATCTTTGGCAGGACAGGTGCGAATTAAGAGTTCGCCCGCAGGAAAAACAAAACAACTGACACGTTTGTTAATACGAAATCATATCTTTGCAATGTCATATAACATAACCCCATCGTGCTAACCCTGTTTTATTATCAGTTTTATTATAAATATTTTAAAAGTTTTAAAAAAGAGTAAATAAGAGTAATTGCTTTTTTATTCACCAATGTATTTTTATACCATACATACTATGACTACAACTATCTGCGTGTATAAATTTTAAAAACCTATGAAGGCAGCAAGAGGTCAAACACCTTTGCTATAATAATTTTTCAAAGTTACAATGCAAAGACATTGGCAAAGACTGCTTTTATAATTGCATTATACACACATACATAACATATATTCATAAACATATAAAGTAAATCGAAGCAGCCAACTGATTGGCTGAACGCCGCTAAGTGCCGACCAATCAGATGAGGCTGCATTGCATGGCAGCTCACACACACTTTTCCAAGTAAGTGGAGCACAACAATGGAGTTTGGGGAACATGGCGCCACTTTGAAACGCAGCCATGCATGCATACAAGTATGTATATGTATTAGATTAAATTTGTAAACGATTGTAACCATTTTTACTGAGATGAGATAAATAAGTCCACATATTTATTCATATCCTGGGAAACACATTAGTAATGCTTATATACAATTAAATACTTTTCATACGAAACTCGATTTTTTATCTATAGTAAATTTTCTGGAAGCAACTTGGGAATGTTCCAGCACACCGGCTACCTTCAGTCTGTAGAAGTAGTTAAAAATAGAGCTACAGATGCTTCTGAATACTACTATTAGGTTGTCGCAGGGAAATATAGCTTTTTTATGAAGCTCAAGTGTCAAACAGCTGCTCTACACTTTCTTCGATGCGGTGGTCTAGCAGTAAATTGTAGGAATTAGCAGTATTTTTATTGGAGAAGCTTGCAGAAAGCTAAATTCGAGAAAGCAGAGAAAACACAACAAAGTCTTATTTTTTAATCTTGCAAATAATTAGATTGTTGTTCGCTAAATTAAATTGTAAAATATTTAGTTGAAAGAGGTTGGCAGATCTTGGCGTTGCAAATAGCTTAAAATATCTTGAATTTAATTGAATTCTTTAGTTTTCTTTAGATTCGGCTTAATTCTGCAAAAAAAATGTGTCGAAATGACGGAAGTAGTTCGTTGAACATCAAAAATCTATTCTATGATCTGCTTTCTTTGCAAATAATAATCGAAGTTATCGCATTTTTCTTTCGATATCTTCATATATTTATTTTCCAAACAGCTGGCCTTAGTAATCTGTATCTCGCGTTGCATAAAATCGATCGGATTATGCTATACGACTTTTGATTAAGATTTCGTACTAAAAAAGTTTCTCAGTCAGTTTTGTAATGGCTTGACTCTGTATTGTTTGAGCAGAAAGAGCAAAAACACCATATTTTACATTTTTTCTTCGATAAAAGCGAAAACGCCGAGGTTAAGGCGGCTGAAAATGTGAATAATATTTATGATACCAAACAATTTTGGTTTTGTCGATTCTGTGCGATTCTGTATTCCGCTAATTTTGATGATTCGAAGATGCATCACACACTGGGGGGTACTTAAAATCGACAAATTCGAGCCATGTGAACACTGCTTCGATTGCCCAGGAGCTAAATAATGAACAAAAACCCATTGGAACCATTCAAAAAAATTGGCTACAAAAAAACAAAATCGATGTATGGGTGGCACACGAGTTAACGCACAAAAATATGATAGAACCTTCTGCGAATCGCACTGGATCGCAAGAAAAACGAACTATTTATGTTGAGAATATTTACGAACGATAAAAAATTACCTACTTACAGCAACGTAAAACAAAAACGATTGTAAGCGTGATCGAATCGTAGTCAGCCGACGCAAACGGTGGCTAAATCTGGATTAACGCTCTGGAAAGTTTTGCTATGTGTTTTGTGAGATTAGCAGAATGTATTCTGCTGTGAGCTGCTCTCCTACGGTGAACCTCTTAATTCGAGTTTATATATATAACCTCTGAAGAAATCAGTCGCCCGGTAGCAGCCAGCTACAGGGAAATAGGTATTCTTTGTATGTTATTTTATCAGGATAAAAGGCCAACATACAGCGTTAATCTCACGCCAGAAGCTCCGGAAGTTTGTTTGCGAGGTTCTTATACATCCACGTTATAGTTTAGATCAAGCATAAATGGATTTCTAGACGTGCCAGTCTGTGGCGTATGATTTTGCAGGAGAAAAAATTCGCCTCAAGAGAAGCTTACGAAAATATACCGTCACAGTTTTTTGCCAATAAGGATGAGGATTTTTGTAAGAAAGGCAATGAAATTATGGTATTGGATCATTTTAACTATGTTACTGTAAAAATTATAGATATATATTTTATTAGACCTATTATTTATTAACTATTATATTATATATGGTATATATAATATTATCGATTTAATTTATTTTGTTTTTTCAAAAAAAAAAAAAAAAAAAATTGTTGAAAGGTACACACCCTGTAGATTGATCGATATATGCGTACATACGAGTATAAAGACAGTTGCCAAGGGGAACTAAAAATACACAGTCAAGAAACAATTTAAAAGTGGCATCAAAAATTTGTAAAACTGGAAAGCCGTAAAAGAAAAAAAAAGAGAAAAAAGAACTAAAAAAAGTAGAAACTTTTTGCAAATTATTTTTTATAAATTAATAGTGCTTAAACATATAAATTCTATTCGACAAACCGCCTAAGCTATGGAGGTAGCTAGTGAGTATCTACACAGTAAATACAAACAATTTCAAACTTCCAAGCTAAACAAACTTCACTACACAGTACCCATTAACAACGAGCTGGAGCAACGCATCTCCGACGCCTTTTGCATCTTCGATCATCACGGCGATAAACGCATCGATATACGTGAAGTCGGTACCGTCTTGCGCTTTCTAGGCTGTGTGCCCACCGAGCAGGAGATAAACGAAGTAATCGCGGCAACCGAAATGGAGGAATCCGCCGGAGATGTGCATCTCTCGAAATTTATGCCGCATGTCGCGCAATTGTTGGCAGAGCGAAAGTGTGTAGATCAGGAGAAAAAAGAAAATAAATAAAATTAAATCTTTGCTTGTAGAATGGAACCAGCATCGCCGGAGAAAATTCTCGCCGCCTTTCAAATCTTGGATCCAGAGCAAAAGACCTACATAACAAAGGAGTATATGAGCAAGATGATGATGGAGGAGGGTGAACCCTTTACACAGGAGGAGCTCGACGAAATGCTGGCTGTGGCCATCGATCCCATCACTGGCCATATTCCTTATGAGTTTTATATCAATCAGCTGATGGTGAGTAGTATTTGCTTTTGCACTCAATTCGCACTAAATTTTGCACTCAATGCACTGTGTATTTGTATTTGTATTTGCACTCGTTGCACTACTCAAGCACGAACCAGCGAATTCGATTTATGAGCTTGCTGCAAAATATTGGACTTTAAAACCGAAAGAGGCGAAACGCGGCTCCAAATGGGCTGGCAGTCGAATTAGTATTAGATAACATTTTTTTTTTTGAAATTTATTGAAAACTATAGATGTTTAATTTAGAAAAAAAATCTATAAATCTAAATATTGTATAACGAAATAATAATTAAAAAATAAATATTATATATTTTCAGGTGTATCTATGAATAAAAAAAGTTTTACAAAATATTAAAAAAAAAAATTAATTTACAATAGCAGCTTAAACACTTAGACCAATACACAGGCGGAGAAAAGTTATCTATTGGTCGAAATCACGTATTTTGCTTCATACTTACACACATACAAAATAAAAATTAATTATCAAAACACATAACCAATAATAAGTCTTATTTTTTGTTGTAATTATTATTAGTTTCTTGTTAACAAGGTAAGCTTTGAATACTTGCTTATCAACTTTTTTTTACACGTTATTATCAGACCTTACCTAAATAAATTTAAGGCTGATAATATTATAAAAAAATCGATAACAACTCGTGTAGACTCTGAGGAGCTGCAAGACTCAAAACCTTGTACGAATATATTAAAGATATCGAAACTGAGTCTAAAAAGTTGCAAGCTCCAATGCGTTGGACAAATTTGGTGAAGATATCGAAAGTGGATCTGAAAAGCTGGAAGCCTCAATTACTTCAATGAAACTACTAAAGATATCGAAATTAGGTCTAAACAGACCTTGGAGAATATATTAAAGATATATGGTATCTAAAAAGCTGTCAGACCTTAGGCGAATATAGTAAAAATATCGAAATTGTCAATTAACGCGTAATTATTTATTAATTTACCAATTCCAGCAACCGTCGTAACGATTCATTATTTATAGAAATACAAAATTAAAAAAAATTTCTCAATTTAAAAGCAATCGGAAAAAGTTTCTGAATCGTTGCATGGCCGTCGACGAGACGTGGAACCATTGGTATACAGCAGAGACGAAGGAACAGTCGAAACAGTAAACTTCAATCGGCGAAACTATTTCAAAGAAAACGAAGATAATGGCCATGGACCAAAATGTGATGACCACCGTTTTCTGGGATTCACAAAGTCTGATCTTCATTAACTATCTTGAGAAGGACAAAACAGTCAAAGAGCTCCAACACGCTGAATTAATCGACCATTTCGAAGACGAATTGCATAAAAGCTATGTGTGGCGAAGTAAAAAGCACTCTTGCGCAATAATAACATACCGGCTCACACCTCCGCCATTGCCGCAAACATATTGGTTGAATTTGGCTGCGAACTGCTTAACAGCTCATCTCTCCAGATTTGGCTCTGTGCGATTTTATATTATTACAAGTATATATATAAAGTCACCCAAGAACTTGCAGGTATCCAGGTAGATGATCGTGGTCTTTTTTGCGATTAAAAACCTGATTTCATTGCGTTCTTCCACGCTTCCAGAAACAAGATCGAATCACCGACCGATATCTTTTTCCATTTTTACAAAATCCATTGACTCCCCCACTTCAACAAGCGGTCAAAACAAAACTACGACTCCGATGCGCCTGAAATTTGGACTACTGTCGTTTTGTAGACGAGATTAGATTTCTCTTGCTAGATGTGTAGATCTTCGTGGAAATATTTACGGTACGGTTGTCGCGGTCGGTGAGCAAAATTTCGCCAAAACGGTCGTATTAAAATTTTCACACAACCTTGTCAGATATATTTGACAGGTGATAATCGATGGTAGATTTTAACAATAAATTTTTAATGCCATTTGATCTGAAATGTTAATGTTTTAACAAAAAAAAAAAAACTGCTTTTCGGTTAGCTAACATTTTGTCAAAAATCGAAATTTTGACTAGTTGTTCCATCTAATCAGCTTAAATTTTTTTTTTTAAAGTGAGCATAGACCCGCTCCCTAATAGGTTTAATGTGCCTATCTCCTAAACAGCTAAAGCTATAATAACAAAATTCATGGAGAACAAATGTTTTTAGCACCTCTAACGACTGTGTGAAAATGGGTGAAATCGGGTGACAACCCCGCACACTCCCTATATAACGGTACTGTTAAACACTACTAAAAGCGCGATAAATCAAGCACTAAAGACGCCAGAGATATTTAATTTTATCTCTGGGATGGTATGAGATGACTTTATAGGAACCGCATTCAAAATTAGTCAGGGCGTGGCATCGCCCACTTTTAGGTGAAAACCCATATCTTGAGATCTGCTTAACCGATTTCAACCAAACTCGGAACGTAATATTCTTCTCATATTTCTATGTTATAGTACGAAAATGGGCTAAATCGGACTACAGCCACGCCTATTTCCCATATAACACCATTTTAAATTCCATCCGATTCTTTCACTTTTCACTATGCAAATCAAGCAACAATGTTAAAATGCTGGTAAAACTTTTAAGTATGCCACCGTGTGACTAAAAATTGTCTAAATCGAACTAATGCCTATAGTTGACTTTTTACCGACAATATCGGTCAATATGTAAGATATATATTTGAAAATCATATAATAAAATAAATAAGTGAAACTCTCGATGATAGTACGTTTTGGTGTCCAAGATAGGTTAAAGTAATTTCCGGGGCTTTGATCCTTGCAAGTTGCGAGCGTATAAAATATTCGGTTACTTCCGAACTAGGAACTTCCTTACTGTTTTTTTTTTTGTTTTTTTTTTTTTTGGTTTTGGATTTGAAGTAATTTTAAGCATACAAATCTTTCTTCCTGCCAGGCACCTTTTTTCGGAGTTCCTCCTGGAAATCGACTACGGGAACAAGGAAATGCAATATTTTTAAATATGAATCACCGATTATTGAAGTATATTAAATGCTGTAATTATGCATTATTTGTAGTTTTTATAAAATAAAATGACTCTACAAACAATAATACATGAAGCGCCTTTCTTTGTTTTTCTTTCAAGTATCCACAACCCCTTAATGCAGAAACAACAACAAATGTTTTGGTTACTCTTCTAGAAAATTCTACTGAAAACTTTCTAGAACTGATTATAAAGATTTAAATTGGAAATTGCATGCTAAAATATGTTGCGGGCTCATTAAATTTGTAGAGAGTTAATAGCAGAGCTTCTTCCCCAACCAACCAATTAGATTTCTCAAGCAAATATGCAGCGCTCAAAAATAATAATAATAACAAAAAGTTCCCACAATAAACTAAAACATTTTCTTATAAGACATTCAACAGAGGACCAGAAGGCCCTAAGATATTTTCCACCACCACCAAGAACCACAATAACAAAAGCAAAATATTGCATGTTTCTTTGCTGAAATTCTAGAGTATCTTTGAAATTCTAGTTGGAATAGGAACTCACCCTTGCCGAGAAGCACACACTCGGACATACACACATATACATTTACATACATACATATGTACATATGTATATGTGTACTATTTTCTTAGCGGTTAATTAACTTGAAAATCTGATAGCTAGTATTTCTTCAAAACATCTTATAAACTTCACTTTGCTGTTGCTTAGTTGCTGCCGCAAACTTTTCACACGCTGGCGAGAAGTGAGGTAAAAGTAAGAAAACAAAAACAAAAATACAAAAAGTCACAAATCGTGTGGGAAAATTGCGTAAAGTTTTATTTCGAAATTTGTTGCGCTTGAGAGCACCGCTAGCAACACCACCACTAACAATAACAAAAACAACAACAAGTGCTATAGCACCTCAGCACGGCACCTGTGCGCCGGTAGTCGCCGAGCGCGCGTCTGGCGGACGCTGTGACCGCTAAGACGTGGTGGTGGATGTGTTGGTGAATGTGGTGAATGCGGTGGTGGTTGTGGTGTGCTCTTAGCGTGTGCACGGCAGCAGCGGCGCTAAGTCACCATAGGTATTCTAAGAAAAATGCTAATTTGCCTTTGAGGCATAAGAGGAGACGTGCAAGGTGTTGTTGTTGCTTGCCACTGGTGTGATTGAATTATGCAGTGAATGTCGTGATAAGCGCGCAAGGGTCATTTCGTAGCGTCTTAAGCACTACGTTGAGTTGATTTTTATCAATGCGCTTTTTGTTGTTGTTGTTGTTGCCCCGCGATGTAGCTGTAATTATTATATGTGTGTTTGTGCGCACTTTTGCTGACGTTTCAGGCACTTTGTTGCACTTCTTCATGGGAAATGCTTTTTCGAGTGCATGAAATCACAAATATATGCATACAACAACAACAACGACTGAAATAAGCGCAGAAATCTCCGCTGCTGCTCTGTAGTAAGGGAGAGTGCCACCTCAGTTATTTAGTTTGAAAGTTTTTGCATCTTATTACGAATTATTGCATTTGAAGGTCCAATTGTTGCATGCCACCCAAAACTGCAACACCAACAGCGGCGCAAGTAAGCGGACCGTAGCTTGAATAGCGCGGGGAAGGCGCATGATCGTCTTAATGTTTTTAAGACGGCATTTTTTCTTATTAGTTGCGGTCGGATTTTGAGAGCGTGGGAACTCTAATTGGAAGCTACACATTTTCAGGCACACACACACACACACATACACATAATTTGACAAATATTTATTAAGTTATTTAGGTCTCACTTTTTGCCTCTTATTATTACGTTTATGTTAATTATATACTCGTAGTGTTTGTTTGAGCAACCACTGTAAAATCTGATAACTGCTTTTGTTTATTTAAAACAGAAAATAATAATTTTTACTTTCATAAAATCGAAATAGTTTTCTCATTAGTTATTGTAGTTTGTGCTGTCTACTGTTGTTCTAGATTTTCGAAGGAGCTTTTATCACCGACCAAAAGCCAATTAAGGACTGTTAGTTCAATAACCTTCATTAAGAGCTTATAACCATTTGTGAATTTCAAAAAATCGATTTATATCAAACGTACATATATATGAGCATATTCTCCGAAAATTCGAAGTTGATGCGGCAAATGGTTCTATACATATGAGTTATAGATTTTGACAATAATTTAGAAGATAAATTTTTTCACATAAACAATTATTTTTTCTGAGAGCTATTTGATACGCGGAAATTCTTCCGTTTGCGCTGTGAGGTTGTAGAAAATCAGCTCTCATGAAAGTTGATTCCCCCCATATGCCTTTGTTAATGATGGAATAAATCGAGACAGTGAAGAAGTTATTCGCCTAAAATGTTCTTATATTTATAAAGAGCTAATGGAGGCTACCAACACAACTTATCGATCGATATTTTTAGTATA